CTTTAAAGTATTGAGTAGTATTTATTTTATACTTCTAGGGACTAGGAGAGAAGTCTGTCCTGAGGTTTTATTGACTGGTAAATGGTGGAGCATTTGTTTTATAGGTAGATGGTCTTCTAAATCATATATGAAACATTGTACTATTAGCCTATGAAAATATAATAGTAAATTGTTTGAAATATATATAGGAGCAGTTCTAATGAAAGTTATACTACTGAAGGGATCACAATTGCAGAAATTAGCATTTTTTTTGCACTATCCTATTTCGGGGTAGACCCGACATATCTGTACTGTTTTTGGAATATAAGAGGACTGACAGGCAATCTTACTTGACGTTGTACTTTGATTACCATAGTGGATCCATTAATGATTATCTGAAAGATGACAAATTATTTTTATGCTCTCCCTAGTGCCTCAAGGAAGCATGTACTAAGGCATCCTTCAGGTTACTGTTTTGTATCACTACTTCTGTTTCCATAAAGGCCTTCGGTTCTTAGTTCCATTAGAATTTCACAAGAAAAATGTTTTGAAATTGCCTCCTCATTTCAAGAACTGTTTTCTTCCAAAACAAAATGTTTTCATCCATTTTCTACTGCATGTATCTTATGAAACTGCTTATAACATATTTTAAGTCAGAAAACCAGAGAAGCAAGTTCTTATTTTCTGGGTTTTAATACCCTAAATTGTATATCCCAAGAATAGAAACAAAACCCGAGAAACGTATATTCCATGGAAGGTTGCAATTTTTTGTCGGATGCAGATTAACCTGTTAGTATGCAAGGAAATGTAACGGAGCGAAGCTTGCTTTCTGAGACAGAGTGAACAGCCACATATTTGATAACGATATATGCTTTTACATATTTGATATGATAATATGGCCTTTTTTCTGCCATAGGGTCGGTTTGAGATAATTTCATTATCTGGTTCTTATATACATACTGAAATTGGGGGGAGGACTGGTGGGCTTAGTGTATGTCTCGCCAGTACAGATGGCCAGATCATTGGTGGTGGAGTTGGTGGACTACTGAAGGCTGCAGGCCCAGTTCAGGTATTCTCCAATGTGCAGACAAATCATTTGATGTATGGTTGATTGAGCAGCGACTTTGTTCCTGCTTCTCACTTTTCTTTATCACTTTGCCGACATCAATAGCCTTTGTGTTTTTTCTACTACAGGTTATTATTGGTTCATTTTTTGTTGACTCAAAGAAGGATGTCAGTTTCAGCGGAAAAGGTGATTCTTGTGGCGCGAAGTTACCTTCCCCAGTTGGTGCATCACTATCAGGTGTTGGATTCCTATCCACTGTTGACTCTATTGGAAGGAATCCGGTCAGGGAAGCCGATGATCATCATAATCAGACCATGGGGGGAAATCATTTCATGATTCAACCTCGGGGTTTACAAATGACTCCCCCGGAATGGGGAGGTAGTCCTGATGGTAGAGGTGCTATCGGTTACGACTTGACAGGTAGACTCACACCCTCAGAGAGAGAACGAGAGATAGACCGGATGTTCTGAGGTAGAAAACATCGCCTTCTGCAGGAAGTAACAGGTTGTGGTCCTTATCAATCTTCGGAAAATGGGGAATACGATCATATGGCAGATTAGAAATTGATTCTGGAGTATGACAGAAAACTGTTTTTGACTGTAGGTAATTTGCCAGTTTTACAATAGTAAGTTAGATGTGAAATTCCTTGCACCTCTAGTGGAGTGTAATATGTATATATTGCTGTACAGATTACCAGCATTGCTCTTTTAGGGATGTTATTCAAAGCAGACACCACCGAATTATTGCTCTAAGAATCTGATCCTTTTGAGGGCTGAAAAATTTCACTCGTTCATGGGCATAAATATTGATATGTTTTGGGAATTAGAAAATCCCGGATCAGAGACTTGCTCATCCTAAACATAATACACATGGGTATGGTGCATGCATTTCTTCACTATCACACACACACACACACACAAACACACACGTTATGCTAGCCTAGCCTAATTAATTAATGTTATTGGTATTCACACTGAAAACACGTGCAGGCATAAGCGGAGCATGAAGAAACGAATGATATATATATATATACGGGTGTATTTATGGTCGAAAACAATGAATGATATTTATATACGGAACGGATACTGCATGATAAGATCAACACGTGATGTGCAGGTTTCTTCTTCAACCCGTCTGTCCAGGGGGGGAGAAGGGGGGAAGGGGTCAACAGTCAATGTGTAAGGATAAAAAAATGCCATGTCAACTCCACTTCACTGCTATACACACAATTTGATGGTGATGGGATCTTATAATTTATTTGATGTTTATAACGGTCAAAAATTTCAAAATTTCATGTTTGATTGGATAGTAACAGAGAGCAGAGAAGACTAGACCAGTATACAAATATATATATATATATATATATATATAGCAGCAGGTATAATTAAACAATGGAAAAAAAAAATTGTTTATCATTTTATGATTGACGTTTGAGATGAGGGGTTGCATGTTTTGGAGATGGTCGTTGCTAACGTGAGCAGTGAGCACACTGCAAAGGTTGAGTTTTACTCCGGTTTGAAAGAGAGCGTCTCGATTCGCTTCACCCTCCTATCATGGGCCCTTCTGTGGGGCCCACGCTTCTTTAAACTCAAAAAGTTCTTTTTATTTATTATTATTTTTTAAATTTCTTCTAGTTGTATTATATATATAAATATATATATATATATACTTGAATTATATATAGATATATATATTTATGTATTTTTAATAATAAATATTGATATTTAAGTGGGTGCTACTATTCAACATCTTTCAGGCACAGAGCGTTGTCGTGGAAGTATTGTTTTTGTCAATATTTCTTCTTGCAAGCAAAACAGAGATAGAGAGAGAGAGAGAGAGGACAGGGTCACAGGGGGGATGGGGATGGTGGCAAATCTGTTAATATCATGAAAAAGAACTCTCTGCTTTTAGATTTCCATTACCCTTTTCTCTCTTCCTCTCTATTACCTTAAAAGTTTTCTTTTTTTGGTTCCCTTTTTCACTTCTTTATTGCTGATTTTTAAGCTTCAGATTACTTAACTTGTTAATAGCTAATTATTTCTAGGAAAATTTGGTAAAGGGGTAATCATTTTCTGTTGATTTAGATTGGAAAGTTTCTTCCTTTTTCTGCGAGAAGCAGGAGGTGTGTATGTTCTCTGTTTTCTTTTTTTAATATAGAGTTCGACTGTTTTAAGGTTCTGGTTTGCTTCTTCTTTTTTTTTTTTTGGCAATAAAGCTTATGTTTTGGTTGATTATCCTCCGTGGGTAATAAGAATCAAGGTAGAATAGGTGAAGAAGTAAGAGATATTTTGCAGAGGAGTGTTTTAAAGAAAGCATATTGAATTGTGTGAGATTCTGGCTGATGGGTATCTTAGATCTTCAAATCTAGCATGGGATCCTCTCCTTTAAAGCTCGAAAGAACTTGGTTGTGTTGTAGATCTTCCAATTCTTGGATTAGGTACATACGTATATCTAAACATATTCCGCTTGTTTGGGGTTTGAGAGATTAGTGTTTTACATTGATGGATTGAACTAGTACTTGTTTTGGCTGCAATGTTAAGAGCTATAGCTCTTGTATTATTGGTGTTTCAGCTTGTTGTCTCAGTTTCTGGCAATGATTGCACATGTGATGATGAAGGCTTTTGGAGTATACATCGCATTTTATACTGCCAAAGAGTGAGTGATGCACTTATTGCTGTAGCCTATTTTTCAATCCCCCTTGAGATTCTTTTCTTTGTTAGCTGCTCAAATTTTCCATTCAAATGGGTGCTTCTTCAGTTTGTAGCATTTATAGTCCTTTGTGGATTAACACATTTGCTCAATATATGGACTTACTATGGCCCCCATTCATTCCAGTTAATGCTATCCCTCACCATTGCCAAATTTCTCACAGCCCTTGTTTCATGTGCAACTGCCATAACTCTTTTGACTTTGATACCTCTCCTTCTTAAGTGGAAGGTAAGAGAGCTGTTCTTGAAGCAAAATGTGTTGGAATTGGGCCAAGAGGTAGGAATGATGAAGAAGCAGAAGGAAACGAGTTTGCACGTTAGGATGTTAACGCGGCAAATCAGGAAGTCACTTGATAAACATAACATATTGTACACCACTCTGGTTGAGCTTTCTAAGACACTAGATTTGCAGAATTGTGCAGTGTGGATGCCAAGTGAGAATATGATGGAGATGAACCTCACTCATGAGTTGAAGCCAAGTTCTTCTAAGAGTTTTCGGTTTTCTATCAAAATTAATGATCCTGATGTGTTGGAGATAAGAGAAAGCAGGGGGGTGAGGATTCTGAGACCAGATTCAGCCCTTGGGATTGCAAGTGGGGGTGGGGGTGGGTCTGATGAGTCAGGTGCTGTGGCAGCAATTCGAATGCCAATGCTCCAGGCTTCTAACTTCAAAGGAGGGACACCAGAGTTTGTTGATACTTGTTATGCTATACTGGTCTTGGTTCTTCCTGGTGCAAATTCTAGGGTCTGGAGTTATCATGAATTGGAAATCGTGGAAGTGGTTGCTGACCAGGTAGCTGTGGCTTTATCGCATGCCGCGGTTCTTGAAGAATCTCAGCTGATGAGAGAAAAACTGAGTGAGCAAAACCATGCTTTGCAGCAAGCAAAAAAGAATGCGATGATGGCAAGCCAGGCTAGGAACTCCTTTCAAAAGGTGATGAGTCATGGAATGAGGAGGCCTATGCATTCTATTTTAGGCCTGCTTTCAATGTTTCAAGATGAGAACATTAGTGGTGATCAAAAGATCATTGTTGACACACTGGTAAAGACCAGCAGTGTGCTGTCGGCATTGATAAATGATGGAATGGATATTTCAGTGAAAAATAATGGAAAGTTCGCAATGGAGATAAGAAGCTTTCGGCTGCATTCTATGATCAAGGAGGCTTCTTGCCTTGCTAAATGCTTATGTGTATATAGAGGCTTCGGTTTTGAAATTGATGTTCAAAGCACTTTGCCTGATCAAGTGATAGGTGATGAGACGAGGGCATTTCAATTGATTTTGCATATGGTTGGATATCTCTTGGATGCCTATCAGAAAGGAACTTTGCTCTTTCGGGTAGTCTTAGAGAGTGGTAGTGAAGAAAAAATTGACAGAACATTAGGAATGTGGAGATCATCTTTGCCAGATAACTATGTTTGCGTAAAGTTTGAATTTGAGATCATGGAGAGAAATTCTGTGTCAGAAGATTCAATCATAAATCAACATTCCTCTGCCAGGAGGCACAGGAGCAATCAAATTGAGGAGGGACTTAGCTTTGGCATGTGCAAAAAGCTTGTGCAGGTGAGCTCTCCCAGTGTTTTGTCTGTATATATATATATGTATATTTGCTTGTATTTTCTGTTGCTTTCTAGTTGTTGCTAGCAAGTCGGATTTTTTATCATCTACTTTATTATTGTGTCTACATTATAACATTTTCTGTTGTTAGCATCTCAACTTGGAGCATAATTAGGGGATAGAACTTTCTCTTCCATGAACTGTCCTGCCATAGATTGCGACATGTTAAGTGTTTTATTCTGATTTTTTTCA